TATAGAAAAAATGTAATATAACTACAAATCAACATTAGCAAGCAAAGACTAAGATATGGTCTTTGGCCCCATGAACTGGACAAAGGCTTTTCGCTGAAGTTACACCAAAGATTCCGCGTGGGAATTATGCGGCCAATAATTAAAGCAGTATATTTTTCTTTTTCATTTTTTATCACTTGAGTCCCAGTGCTTCGCCATGACTCGGAAGTCTTTACGGTGTACTTCTCCTTAGTGCTACATCCACATTAAATTATAATTATTTGTAAAGTTTTTATATGTAAATGGAAGTGATATTATTTTTTAATTTTAATTACATAATAAAAAATAATTATTTTTATCTATTATTTTACACCACTTACATATTATATAAAAAAATTATTATTAAATTATTTAAATCGATTAACAATGTAAGTGATATTATTAACATACAACTTATAATTAAATTTTGTTTTATTTTGTATGTAATTTTTTGAAAAAAAATTTGAATAACAAAATTTTCATTTACCGGTAATATATCACACAAAAAAATTATTTAAAATTACATTTAAAAAGTCAATAAAACAGTTAAATTGAGACTGACAGACAAGCACTCTTTTCTTGCAAGACCGGCTGAACATTTTTTTAAAGTCAAGAATCAACAAGACCAAGAAGTTGCCGTGTATTTCGGTCATTTTGTTTTAGTCTTTCGATTGCTTAATACCCCGTGCAACGCGGTGAGAGCTAGGGCTACACATTATTTTGATAAAATTATACATGTATTATTTAATTTGATTAACATTTTATTAATTTATTTTAATTTATTAAATAATTATTATTAATTATTATTAATTAAATTAAACAATCTATATAACCTCAATATTATGAGTCATCTCCATAATCATGCCCGTGCAAGACTGGAACTTAAGTCAACTAGCATTGGTCAATGACGGGAAAATGTGTAATATGGTTGTGAAAGAAAAGTATTTTTTGAAAAAACCTAGATTAATGTTTTAAAATAAAGTAAAAGTAGAAATTAATTGTTATATATAAATTTTATCAAATAATATTTCTAATTTATAAGTTAGACCAATAGTAGTTGCCTTATTAAGAAGGCAGTGCATGTGATGAATCATTGACTTAAAGTTAATTGGTGTACTAGTTTTATAAATTTTTATTAGTATTAGGTGATTTCATTTCAAATACAATTAGTAGTTAATATTTGAAGGACATATAATTTTTTTGAGAAAAGTAAAAATTAAAATGTTTTTATATTTAAAATGTCAGCATTATTAATAAAATTATTTAAATTTTTTTAATAAATTTTTTTAGTATATTGATTTTTTTAAAATATTTAAATCTTATAATTATCATTTTTGATATTTAAGTTATCAAAATATTTTAATTTTTCACAATCCCTTATTATTTATAATGTGAATTTTTTTCTTCTTTTGATTAGTTTAAATTCCAAACTACCAACTACTAACCAAAAATTTTATATGCCAAACACTCTCTTAGAACTTAAGAATAACTATTGTTATTATTATAATAATATTATTATTTTTTGGCCGTTTATGTTAGTTGGATTATAAAAATTCAAGTTAAAATAAAAAGAAAATAAAAGAGTAGTGGTAAATTAAAATAATAAAAGCTAAAAACCTACTGCTCTTGTTCCAAAATAATGTTAATTATTATTTCATATTTTTGAAGATACAAATATTTTTTATTTTAATTTTATCATTATCTTTTATTTTATTTATTCATTCATTCATAAATTTTTTTTATTTTTATTTTTTTAAAGATAATACAAATAAAACTATAAATTATTTTAAATTTTTAACCTAAAAATAAAATTAAAAAATATCTATTATCTTAAAATA